GGGGTGATAGCACTATTGTTCTGTGAAGAATTATGACTACAATCCCTTTAAGCGTAATCTATTTTATGTTTCGTCTAAGTCTATGTATCCATATTCCAGGTCTCTCTCTCTCTTTTCCTTACTTCCATCACCGCAACTTCCCGTACTCTCCCGCTCCTTAGGCTTTAGTTTCTTTATACCGACGCGTCTCGTGGCTCCAAACCTCGTTGCCGGAGTATTGGTACTCAATACCTTTGCAAAATGCCTCGATAGCCGGGGATGGGTGCTTCTTCAGGATCTCTGCCACCAATCTATGGTGGTTGGCTTCCCACTCCCTACACATCATCCAGATAATGCGCTTCGCGGACTCGACATCGACCTGGACAAGCTTTGCCACTATGGGCACGGCCGAAACCAAAACCCCACCTTCTTGCTTTCCTTCGTCCTGCACTCGTACCTCCTTTTCGTAGCTGTAGACGTCGTTAAGGGAAAGTAGATGCCTGCCGAAGTTGAAGGCTACCGGGCGAACTAGCCGCCACTCTTCATCAGTGATATGGAGACCCATACAGAAATTCATAAGGGCGCACACAAGCCTGTAATAAGATTCTACAATTAGCCATTTCGCGCACATAAAATCGAAAGGTGGTGCAAATTTTTTGAGTAACTAACTCTGTGCCAATGTCTTTCTGGCGGAATTCGAAATAGGCCGCCAGGTTTCCGGTATTCAGTCGCGTCTTGTCGACCTGTGCTCGCAGAAATATGAAGGTTGGCTCTTCAAGTATATGCGCCAGCTCAGCGTCGACAGCACGCATGTCCTCCCACAAATCCCACATTATCCACTCCGCCGGGATCGAGCGGTCTGGCTCCTGAACCCCGCGAGCGATGAGGATAAGCCTCTCATTGTAGGCCTGGGCATCTTGAAGGGACATGAGATCAATCTCATCTTGGAAGTGTGTTAGTTATGAGTATATCTAACTTTACAGGTTGTAAATATGGTGACTTACCATCGACGAGGAACAGAAGCGTAATGAATCTGCAACCAAGCTCCATCCGGTCGTCAAGTGACAGCGGATAGCTGAGGCATGAAAAGCGATTGAAGTCAGCAGCAATGTATTTGCGGCGGCTGTTCTCATCGGGGAAATTCCAGTGCTTGAGGAAATATTCGTCTACTTCCTTTGAGATCTTTGGGTAGAGTGGGTGACATAGTGTCTTGAAGATAGACCCCTTAATATCGGGAGGCGCTGTCCATTGACCATAGTTCGAAGCCATTTTTTTTCCAAGTTGAAAGGCCCAGAGTCTTTTATATGATAGTTTTCTCGTTCGATGACTTTGTAAAGACAGTTAGTTAATTTCAAGAACTTCCAAAACAAATAAATATTCTCTTCCCACTTATACATCTTTCTTGAGATCTGTATTTTGGCCAGAGACCCCGGGGTTTTCCTCATCTAGTCGGATGTTACTCTCGGCATGGGTACCTCACCCATCCGGCGTTTTTCTCTCCCGACAGTATTATATTATCTATCTTATCATTTTCACCTGTTGCAGGTCATATTTTTACCGGCTACTTCTAAATTAGGGAGACGGACTTCTTCTCAATATTGATCGTGTATATAGGGGCTAAGAGGGACAGACCCCGTATAACCAACTAATCAAATAACTCCATAACCAGGTAAGCAACTAGACTACCAGTATCTGCAACAAATAACCAATATGTAATGAACTGAACCAAGCTGATACCTAACTACAAAGCTAAGTTCTCTTATCGACGAAGGTCGTCAAGAGAAAGGCTATATATAGGTTAGTTGCCTCAGGTATCTCAGCAACCACCCAGTCAACCAACTAAGTAACCTGTCCCTAGTTCCCTCACCTAGTTACGACAACAATATCTAAACTCAGCGATTCCAATATATCAACCTGCTACTTGTTGTTGAATCATGTAAAGCTAGTTCTGTAACCTAGAATACAAGTATATAGGCATATTGCTATACGATGACCGATCACCAGCGTAACATTAAGACCATGTGTACATATACACTATCCTCCAAACCTATTATCATATGCATCAAAGATTGGTCTAAACGTATAACCTTTTTAAAAGAAAATATCCCCCACAACCGGCGGTTCTCTACATCTATGGCATTAGATCCAACCTGAATAGTACGTCTTGATATCTCGGATGATGTTACAATTCTATCTGTCAGCCTCGCCACCTGGCATCAACTGCACAGATGTATTGCTGTGCACTTTATGCATTGACCACCCATTGGTCAACTAGGAAGCCAGTGTACTTAATTTCATGTGCTGGTTCGACGCCATGCTTACTAATATCGATTGCTCTCAGGTTCTCGAGATCATCGTACTCTATAAGGAAGGGATGGGTTCTCGGTAATTCTTAGTCTCACTGTCATGGGTTGCCTAGGGCGGCACCTAGTACTTCCCATGACTATATTCAACAAATCCAACACATGTCTACCAGAAGACATCTAATAGTATATATTCTTAGCTGAAAGTGTAGGTTTAAGAGTCCAGGACTGTGGTTTAGTTTGTAGGTAAAGTATCATTTCTTACTTTTTCTCACCGTCTCCTTCGACTTAAAGATTGAAGTCAAGGTGTCACGTGGCGGCTTGTCTATACAATTCCATGATATAAAGGTATAATCTCCTAAAGGGAACTGCTAAATCTTTTGCGCCCTGTCTCTCCTTAACTACCCCTTACATTACATGCAACCAATGTTTTCTGTTGCTATCCGCCCGAACTAGCTAGAGATCCACTCATAGAAACCAATATGTAGCAAAGCTACCTATCTACCTACTCTAGTTCGTTCACTTCCGATGAACCCCTATAGCTGGAACGTTGCACAACCTTGCGTTATGCGTGCTTATGACGAATGAGCTTGGTTATTTACGTTAAGATCTCGATCAGATGCTTTAGCTAGCGCCTTGTTGATTGCGGCATAATTATATATAGAAGAGAATACCGTCGAGTAACAAGGAACATATGCAAACCATACTATAGAAGGGTAAGAATCCCTAACTTGATACTCGAAATTGCACATCTTCGAACTTCGAGGCTCGCAATGGTTTCTATCACCGTATTTAAGGGAGCCAAAGACGGCTCCCCAAAGAAAAGCGTCATCACTAAGCCAGATAATCTCACTGGCGATAGTGTACTGGTGAAAATCACAGCTTCTGGAGTCTGCGGGACCGGTTAGTACCGAAGCACATCAATCTGTCCATCGTAAGCAGCTACTAATAGAGTCATCTAGATCTTCATCATGTCAGTAAAGCACTTGCACAGCACGGCTAGCACGGAAAAGAAAAGGGGGGTTCTTGTTAACGAGAAGACCAGAAAACGCAAGACATAGTCCTCGGCCACGAAGGCGTCGGCGTCGTCGAGGCTGTAGGACCGATGTGCACGCACTTGAATACAGGTGACCGCGTCGGGTTTGGCTACGAGAGCGACAGTTGCGGTCACTGCCGTGAGTGTCTCCGCGGAGCCGAGCCGTACTGCCCCGAGCGCGCCCTTTATGGCTGGGCCAACTTCGACCAAGGTAGCTTCGCATCTCACGTTATCTGGCGCGAGGCGTTCCTGTACAAAATCCCCGATGCGTTGAGCGACGTGGACGCCGCGCCTCTGCAGTGCGGAGGCGCCACTGTCTTCAACGTTCTGCGAGCCTACAATGCCCAACCCACCGAGACGATTGGAAGTACGTATTTTGTCCACTCCCGGATATAATTCACATGATGTGGTTTGAGACTTGACTTGCCTCCCGATCTACTCGAGCAGGCAATTTCTGACTCGATATTTCACAGTTATAGGAGTGGGTGGCCTGGGCCATCTGGCTATCCAATTCGCAGCCAAGATGGGATGTCGTGTTGTTGTCCTTTCGGGGACTGAGAGCAAGAAAGAAGACGCCATGCGTCTTGGGGCTCACGAATTTATCGCCATCAAGGGCGCAACAGAGCTCAAAGTTACATGGCCCCTAAACCGGCTGCTCGTAACGACCTCAGCACAACCAAATTGGGGGTTGATTTTACCCATCATGGCGCCCGGGTCTTCCATTCATCCACTTTCCGCCTCGGTGGGCAATTTCGAGATCCCATATATGCCGCTTATTCTTCAGGGGATTGGTGTGCAGGGCTCACTTGTAGCGCCCAGGAATCTGCACCGCCAAATGCTTGACTTTGCAGCTCTACATGGGATCAAGCCAGTAACCGAGATCTTTCCAATGACAGAACAGGGTATCAAGGAAGCGATGGACAAGTTGGAGAAAGGAGATATACATTTCAGGGCTGTCTTGAAGGCATTGTGATTGGCCGGCTGGCTATCTCGAATTGCTTAGATCTTTGTCAAACGCCTGGGAGAGATGGTCATCTTTGAGGACTCTTGCACCTATCAAGATGAAATGAGGCATGGACGATGGCACTATAGAGTTGTTCCTCTATAGGTTCTGGAGCTAGCCCAAACAGAAAGCAAATAGTTGAATTATACCTATCGAGGTACATGAGATGAGTTACAGTGGTCACAATCTCACAAAGCCGATATAAGCTAGATGGGTATAGGTTGTTGACAATCCATCCATGTTGCATGCTTTTAAACTACGACTACCTATATTAAAGGCTATAAGATTTATCTCAGTTTATGCGATCAAGTCTCACATGGCGTGGCTGAAGGCACGGTGAACTGGGATAGGAAAACAGTAAGTGAGGAAAGATTTTAAATTCTTTGTCATTTGCCATTTGCTAACTCTTAGTCACAGATGTAGGGAATACAAAAAGCAAAGACAGTGACAACGTAGAAACTCTGGAAAAGGGGGCAAGATGATAGTTTGAGATTTATTATTAAAACTGTGAGCATTCACTAATTGTCAACTCAAAAAAAAACCTGGGAAAGCCAGTTGCATGATAGTACGATAAGTTACATGAGCATGTGTGAAATATTTGCACGAGTTGCCCAAATTTATTCGCAAAGGTGCAAGGGAATAGTGGTCTTCAAAAAAGAAGAAAATTTAGTGTTTTGAACTCCCCCGGACAGGCTTGAACTGTCAACCTCCTGATTGCTTCATAACAGTCAGACGCGCTAGCCAATTGCGCCACGGAGGATTCGCCGATGGAATTTGCTCATTCTTATTGAGATTGATATAGCTAAGGGCCTAGCCTGTAACACTAGTCTCATGTGCACCGTCCCCCCGGTAAGTACTATATAGTAGTTTTTAATGAAGCTATTGGAACGAATTCTACTCTGCTCTAGATGTCTAAATTTTCTGCTCTGCTAGCCAGGTATTGATATTACCTCCCTAGTCACGGATATCTTGTGAATCTCGTGAAGGCGCAGTATTCCAGACGGCATCGTAAATCCTCCCCGGGACAAACAATTTCTTTCAAGGGTTATGTCTTGGCATTGCAGCATTGCAGCTTCTCAGGTCGTTTGACAGTTAGCCGATCTGATGCAGCTGATAATCTGGGTTGTCACTATTTACAAGACTATAGTTCCATAGAAGTATCCCAGTGTTCTCTTCACTGACATTATACATGTAGACAAGTTGATAGCCTTAAGGAGATATCCAGCTATTTTTTGCCGCGACGTCATTATGATCATTATGATCTTCAGGGTGCCTGCATCATTGTGTTCGATGAATGTTTCCATTCGCTAAAAGTAAAACCAAGAGGTTCAGCCAAGCATCAATGAACGAGGGAGAAGTCTTACTCCAGTATGCCCACACCATACAAGCACAAGGTTGCAACAGCATCTAGGAACCAGACACACTGGTCAATACTAATTTCCATATCAACCAAACATGGGACTTCCTGAACTTTCTAAACGACAAAAGCGCGGAAGTAACAATAAAAATCCGAATGTTCCAATGCTTCTTATTTTCCCTGACATCCCAGAAGATTTGGTATTTCTAGGCGAGAACTTTTCTGTCTAGTCCCTACAAAAATTGAGAAGCGATGTTGAGTTAATATCAGGCTGGGAAGAAAATGGAACATGGGATTCATCAAGGAAAGCCGGAGACCCTAATTCATAGCTCATGTCTGAGGAATATATACATATGAGCAATATATGCTATGTAGTAAATAGTTGGGCATACAGGCTTGTAGCATCCAATGACATGGCCTTAGACGAATGAGATCAACCCGACCTCGAATTTGACCTCAGATGCTCTTCATACCTATAAGTTCCCCCTCTTTAAAATTTAGACTGCAACAGACCAGCCCATATAAAGACATTAAGAACTGGGGGATCTACATGAAATCATAACGGCCCTGAATAAACAGTAGATGAATCACGTCCGGGGCCGCATGATCCGATAAACCCTAGGAGTACCTAATACGAGGTTGTCTTGGGAACAAGACGATCACGAAGGGCGGACTCTATCTCACCAACACCATTCTATTTAGCATCACTCCTACTATCAAAATCAGAAGGCCGCAGTTTTTACAAGCTTTACTCCATCGGCAAGACCTAACGTGACAGGAAAGAAGAGGGGATAACTAGTACAGTTACGTCTCTACCATTTAAGGGGGATACCCCTAGCGAGGTTGCCGGGGAGGGCTCACTCCCCCTTCGCTCAGACGTTAAACAATACAGCAACAACGACTTAAGGGGATGGTCCACCAAAATATGGCACCAATATTGAGCGCAACTTGCCTCCATCTTCGACTCTATTTTAGATATATCGCATACCATATATACAACGCATATAAGAGCCAATAACCAGCCCAGCATTACTCCGACCCACCCCCCCTATCCATCCACCCCTCAAGCAACCCCATTCCAGACCAACAAATTGGGGCTCCCCTGACCCTCACCCGTGACCACGCCCCGGAGGGCGAGTTCCTTGATCCTGGCGACCGCATCAGCCGCCGAGTCCGCGCTGCCGTCGCCGAGGGCCTTGAGGTAGAGGGCCAGGCCGGCGACGTGGGGGGTGGACATGGAGGTGCCCGAGTTGACGCTCTCGGCGCCCTCCTCGTTCCACAGGGACGCCACGTCGACGCCCGGGGCGAACACGTCCACGCCGGGGCCGTAGTTGCTCCACTCGGGCCGCGCGCGCGTCCAGTCGACCGCGCCGACCGTGACCGCCGACGCGGCCGACGCCGGCGACCGCGTCGACGCGTCGGCCCCGTCGTTGCCGGCCCCCACGACCGTGAGCACGCCCAGTTCGAAGGCCGCGTCTATCGCGCTGTTGAGGGACTCGGAGGTGGGGATCGCTGGATTTTCTTCGGTTAGGAAAGTGTTTCGGCTTTCTTTTTGGCTAGAAAGAATGGCAGTGATAAATAATAAAGCGTACCAAGACTCATGTTGATAACCGACTTTGCCGCCCGGCCGGGGATGTTCGTCATGTTATTCACGGCGTAATTATAGCCGTCCAGAATGGTGGCTAGAGTGGCGTATCCCTATTACGTAGGTAGTCAGTCAAAATCCCCACCCCATCCCCTTCCCTTTTATCCTCTTTCCCCTTTCCCCTATCCTCTTTCCCCTATCCTCTATTCCAAACCCCCAACCTAAAAGAAAAAAAAAAAGAAGGAAAAAACAAAACTTACCACCGACCTCGCAACCTTAACATCCACAATCGTCGCCTTCTTCGCCACGCCGTACGTGGCGGAGGCAATGATCCCCGCGACATGCGAGCCGTGGCCGAACGAGTCCTCGAAGGGCTCATTGGGCCAGGCATTGTAGCCGCGGACAGCACGGCCCTGCAGCTCCGAGTTCTCGATCACTAGTCCATCGATCAGTAAAACAACTCCCCCAAAAAGAACCCAATAACTCCTATCCCAACCAATTTCCCCTCCTCTGGGCAAAAAAAAACACCCCCATACACCTAGGCAAGCTAAGGAGGAGGGTAGATTTTCCACTCATTCAAAAAAAGGGGAAAAAATCAAAAATCAAAAATCCACACTCACTAACACCCGTATCCAGGACATACGCGAACGTGCCCTCCCCCGCCGACTCATCATACGTGTACGCGTGTCCGCGTATACTCCCGTTAGCCGGCGGGTCGCGCGAGGAGAGGCTCGCGATGCCCCAGGGGGCATTACTCTGGGTCGTGAGGGCCGTGATACGGGCGACGCGGTCAGGCTCCACGGACAGCACCTAACGCATGTCAGCTCCTTCATTCACAACACCACCACACATCTCCAAAAAAAAAAAAAGAAGCAGAACACATATACACGTACATTCTCACTCCCCCTAATCAACTCCACAGTCTCGTCGTCGAACTCGCCCGCGTACCCCCTGAAGCGGCCGATGGTGTACGTGGGGCCCAGGCCGGCCATTGTCGTCGTTTGGCGGCGCGCCAGGCTGCTGCTGCGGCGGCGGTGTATGTCCTGGACCCAGGCGATGTGGGAGTCGGCCTCGACGCCGGGCTTCAGGCTGACGACGAAGCGGCCGGGCAGGGCGTCTCCGTCCTGCAGCTCGGCGGTCGCGGCCGCGGTCGCGATCGGCGAGGCGAAAGCGGCGCAGCTGCCGAGCGCGAGGAGGAGGAGGAAGGGGTTGATCATCCAGCGTGGTGCCATCTTCGCATACAGAGGTACCACCTAAGCGACGACGACGATTTTTTTATTGGAAGCACTTAACCTAGGTTAGAGGGAGTAGAAGAGAGGAATTTCCGGGTAGTCGTCATCGTGAGCTTTATAAACAATCAGATACCCTTCACTTGGACCGTATGGAGGCAGGCAGACAGGTAGGTAGGTAGGTAGGTTAGGCAAGATCCCCCTCGCTTATCCCCATGGTATATCGCGCCTCGTATCCGGATCCTGATGCCGGCGACCGGAATGGCATCAACAGGTCAAACGACCGATCAGAGGCTGGGGCGGTCGGACCCGCAATCCCGTTCCTGGAAGGTCTGATAGCCCTGCGGTAGTATCATCCAAGAGATCGCGCGCCGCCAAGTCTCGGGTCGTGTTATTTTCTTCGTTAAATATTCCCTTGCATTTTTGCCGACCAGGGGGCGGGGGAGGGATCCCACTACATAGTACCAAAATTCCGTCCAAAGACTGGGTGAACAAGGGTTCAGTTGCACTTTATCTACTCGTACTCTGTGTTGGCGCATTGTTCTGGTAAAATAGCTGCACCGGTTTCTATCGTTGATTGTGTTATTAAAAAAGTTACTTTCTATTTGACTGAGTAGATAGCTAGGCAGGTAGCTAGGTATACAAATATACGTGTGCTTTGTATTATATGGCAGCTTTTATATACGTGACCACTGCCAAGTGTTACTATAATCCTCCTTCCCTCTCATGTCGTGTAATTCCATGTGTACTTAACCAGGGTGTTCTCGCATACCTGTATGTAACAAAATAAGTAGCCTCCTATACTTCGATAATGCAGGACGGGTGATTATTCGACAAATACCGTAAACGATGTGCAAAGAACCCTCCCTCTCCCCCCCGAAAATATGAAAAACGTAAAGCACAACACTGACTCCGTCGCTGATGCAGTCGGACGTACCGTATCTCCACCCAAGACGTATAATATAATACAATGTACTCAACCCGGAAATACTATCCCATCCTAAGTCCTCACATCATCCAGCGCGGCCTTGTTTGGCTGTCAAATACTCGCACAAAACCAACCCCTATACTTTCATTTTCTCGTACGGGGCTTTCAAATATATATCACGGGCTGCTGCTGGCAGAACAAAGTCCGAGCTCTGACTCAATAGAGCCATCGTTGTTCAGGGCGTCAGAGACAGCTGACTCAGATTCCGCCCGTTGTCTCCGAGCAACATATTCCCTCACATTTGCCCTTCTTGCAGACTCTTGGGCTGCGTGCATCTTATCCAAGAGCGTGCCACCACTGCTTGGTTCAGCAGCTTGACTGGTTGATGGGTGAGATAGGGTGCTCAGATCTTCCTCTCCATTATATGGGGATGATGGAACCGCACCCTCCAAAGACAGCTCACCCACATCTTCGATTGTTTCAACCACCAGAGCAGAAGGCAATCCTTCAGGCTGTAGGTACCCCTAGAACCCATCAGCACCGGCACTTGCCCTACTTCCCGCCGAATTGGGAAGTGGTGTGCTCTGGGCAGAGTTGCTACTAGTATCGCTTGGCGTTGGTGGCTCGACAACCTGGCTGCGAATGCACATGATCCATTCAT